TATATACTGACTGAATCGAGGTCTAAATCAGGCCCGAAATAGCTGCAACTGCACTACTGACGTGCTGGAAACATTCCTTTGCCTGCAAGTTTTCATGCGTGAAATCACCACTCTCCCACTTGCATTAGAACTTTGTTTTATCTTATCTTTGATATTTTTCTTGATAAGTCAAACTTGGAGACTGTTATCTAGAGAAAATTTAGGAGATTTTTTAGGTTTCTTTTGGGAAAGTAGAGAGAAAGAAAAGAAGAAAAAGAAAATCAAGAAAGCAATCAGACTAGGGCTGTCGCACCTCTCTTCTCTGATTTTTCTTGAGTTTTCACCATGACCATGCGTGGCTAAACTCTGATACTTGGTCGAAGGAAACAGAAGCCTCAGAATCAACAAAACTGTGAGATTTAATTTGATTTTTATTGTTTGATTTATACTTTGAATATTGAATGTTCTTCTATGTTCATGTTTATGATTGTTTCGTTTAATTGCTAGGAGGCCTACTAGTTTATTATTTGTTACAACCTACTGCTAGGTTAGATATCAGATCCGTAATTGTTTGATCCCTCTAATCTGCGAAGCAACTAGGGTTTAATGATTTGCTGCATCAGAAATTGTTAGATCTTAGGAAGAACACTCGACTGAATTAAATGCAACTGCTTGTGCTTGTGTTGTTTAGCTTCATCGATCTCTAATGCTTAAGGCTACTGCTGGATTAAATCTTTAACGCTTATTTAGGGGTTGTTCAGTAGTAAGGGTTAAGAGGATCGCTTGTTTTCCGATTAACTGAGATTAGGGAGATGTAGGAAAATAGTTCCTACGATGAATATTCAAAGTCTGAATTGATTTATCTTTGCATCGATGAGYAGTAGTGAAATTCTGATGGTGGATGTTGACTTAGACCAAGACTCATTCTTTTGATTAATTTTAGTACTCTGAATTGCATTGTTTCTCATTTGATTTTCGTTCTTTTTAATTCTGATTTTCTTTCTTTTTAATTGTGGTTCGTTACATACAACCCCCCTCCATCTTTGTTCACGTAGCACACAACTAGGTTAGATACTCTCTGTGGGAGCGATCCTTATTCGCACTACTGCATTTATTTTTAGGAGTATAGGTTTTATTTTTGGGTGCCTACGACAACACGCCAATATACAAACATATGTAAATGTATAATTTTGTATTTTTTAATGAATATGTAAATGTATTTTTTTAATGAAAGTTATGGTTTACCCCACCTAACAAATTTTTATTTATTTTTTTATTTTATTTTATAAAACTCTAATCTATAATATACAAAGTACTATAATTTCAAGTTTTTGTTTGTTTTTTCTTTGTTTGTTTGGAGTGGAATGGGGGTACTTGTTGTTGTTTTGAAAATTCCCGATTAGTACCTTGTACTTCGGGCCTATTGCCACTTTGATCCTCTGAACTTTAAAATATGACAATTTAATATCCGAACTTTCAAATTGTATCAACCTAGTACTTGCCATTAGCCAGCCGTTAAGTGGCATTTGAAAAGATACAAATGTCATCTAATTCTCTTTATAAACCATCCAAATATTGACAAAAAATTAAAGAATTCAAAGTCCTTGCCTTTTCTATTAAASAGGTGACCCCTATTTTCTTAAATAGAAAAAACAATTATTTGAAACTGTATTTTTTTATGAATATTTGAATGATTGATAAAAAGAATTAGATGACATCGAACAGGTAGTTAACGGGTTGATTAACGAGAGGTAATGGATTCACATATTTTGAAAGCTTTTTTTGGTAATAGATATTTTGAAAGTTCGGGTAATTAATTATTGCGTTTTAAGGTTTGAAAACCAAAGCGGCAAGGCCCCAAGTACAGGGTAGGGTAGTAATCGGAAATTTTTCCGTTGTTTTATCGTTGATCAATGAATTAGTTTTACCAACGAAAGAAAGAATCAATAGAAAAATATTTGGAGGACGGTTTTGATTGATGATCATGTGGCATTGGATCCATCTCAAATCTAGAAGAGAAGCGGAATATTCATCTTATCTGTTATCCACTATATTCTCTCTTCAACTGTTCGCGGTTTGCTAACGTCTTCATTATATGTGCGCTGTGTCTCTCAGTCCATGCGAGTTTCGGGTAATAACAGTCTCTGTAAATGGAGCCTCTAATCCCCACCAAGACCCTGAAGCGAGTATCACCAAAGGCCCTTCTCACCAAGTCTCCCCTTCTTCAATCTACGTTCAAATGTCAGCGCTTCTTCTTCAATAGCCATCTTCACGCTCTCCCCAATAGGAGAATTCCCTCTCTCAAAATTGACTCTAAACTTAAAACTTCTCAAGATAACAAGAAGAAACCTATTACCCAGAAGATAATTCTCTCTGAAGGGGCACCGCCTCTGTCGGAGGACGTTGCTGGAAATGAAGAAACTTCGGCCAAGTCCCAGAATTCGTCGAGTCCAATGCCGGTGTTGCGGTTCTTTAAGAAGATACCAAGAAGGTTTTTAGCGCTCCTCTCTAATTTACCCTTGGCTATTGGAGAAATGTTTTCCATTGCAGCTCTTATGGCTCTAGGTATGTCGTTATTTTCACTCTCTTCCTTTTTTCTTTGATTTGTTTATGTTGTTATCTTCGAAAGTTAAGACGTTGAGCATCGGATTTTTAAGTTTTTGCCCAAATTCCATAACATGTAGGCATGTATAACTTTAGCAACTTCTGAAATTGCGATAAGTGGCATCGTCCGTTATTGGTTTTGAGATTTTGTCGTTTAAGTTCATAGACTTGAACAGAAGAACCAGACAGTTAGATTAAGCCAAAAGGGAGGGGAGGGAGAGCAAAAAAGCAGCAATAAAATCATTGCCTCTGGTTGCAGACGCTCAGATGAATAATTCAGAACTGTGTACAAATTTCCAAATGAAGAATGAAGATATAAAAAGACAGAAACTTGAACAACATAGGGTAAGAAAATGAACTTGGTTGACTTTTATTCTGCTGCATTCCTTTAAGTAAAAACTTCAGTTCATGAATGGCAGAGATGTCAAAGGAGCAGGAATTTGGTAATTTTGATTCCTTCATCTGTTCCTTGGAATAGCTATGTTGTATGGAGCAAGAGTCTTGGGCAGTTGAGAAACAGCATATCCAAAAAATGAGTGTGGCATAAATGCTTATCCTTATATGGCTGAGTGTAAAACTACAAAGGATAGGGTCAGAAATGAAGTCATATTATGGAACTTAGGAGTAGCTCCAATACATGATTAAATGAGAGAAATTAGACTGAGGTGGTTTGGTCATGTGCGTGGAAGACCATCTACAGAACCTGTTAGAAGAAGTGAACATTTACAAGTTGAAGGGGCTAGAAGAGTTAGGGGCAGACTGAAAAGGACTTGGGTGGGAAGTAGTAATTTAAGTGCTCATAATTTGATGAAATGTTGAAACAGGAGTCTTGTAGCTGATCCCATAGGACAAGGCTTAGATGATGATGATGATCTGTTCTTTGGAATGAAAAGTAACTTGGGATACTTTTTAGGTAATAAACTTTATTTCCAATTTGTCAAAAAGTTTGAATATCCAATTCTTCCTCTCCTCCCCCTGCAGTCACAGTACATAACCTTGAAGTGCATGTACAGTGTTGATCAGTTCTACCAAATATAATTTAGAGCACGTCTTTATATTTCTACAATAATCTGTCTTTCAACAATGCCATCTCCAAATTTAAATATTTTATTGGGCAACCTTCTTACTTACGAGTTCTAAAGGTTGGTACCCCTGCCTTACCTTTTGGAATCTCTAACCTGCACCCTGATCCTGAATGTCCTTGTGCTTTACCCCGGATGCATTTCTCTAATGGCTGGATTTTCCCCAATGTATTCGTTGGTTATGCAGGGACTGTAATTGATCAAGGAGAAGCTCCAGATTTCTATTTCCAGAAGTACCCAGAAGATAATCCTTTGTTGGGATTCTTCACTTGGAGATGGGTTCTTGGACTTGGGTTTGATCACATGTTCTCATCTCCTGTTTTCTTGGGGATGTTGGTTCTCCTTGCTGCATCACTCATGGCCTGTACATACACAACACAGATTCCACTTGTTAAGGTTGCACGAAGGTCTGATTCCCTCTGCATATCTTATCATTTTTTCTTCATCTGGACTTTTTCTTTAACAAATGAATCAGTATCTGCAGATGGTCTTTCTTGCACTCAGTTGAGGCTATCCGCAAACAAGAATATGCAGATTCTCTGCCTAGAGCATCAGTTCAAGACTTGGGCATTATTTTAATGGGTGCTGGTTATGAGGTACTCCATACGTGATCTTAGTGTTGTGTGCTTTCCCTATTGTTTTTCACTTTGAACGTATAAGTGTGTAAGCTATCTCTTTAATTTCCAACTGTTCTTTGCTTAGATTTCAGATATATTACAAGGAATACTTGTTGAACGTTCCAATATTTTCTATGTGCACACATTGATACTTGTGCGAACAAATGTATCAAGGTGAAGTCTAATGGGGAAGCTACTTAAAAAAAGGGAATTTCTAGGAAGTTCTCAATAATGAATAACAAATAACTACTAATATTATAGATAGTAAGAGAACCTGGTATATCAATAAAATGTTCCTCAACCTATTTTGCCATTTCAATATTTTCTTTACATGATTTTTAAATTGTATTAACTTTTCTTGGTTATTATATCTCCATTACATACATCATTTTATTATATTTAAGTCAATGCAATGAGTCAATGGCCATCTGTGTGGTATCAGGCTTCTCTTGTCAACACTCTTGGCCAAATAGAGAAAAGAACAAGAATAATCTTCGAGGTGTCAAGAATAAAATGACCCCCACCTCCAAGAGTCTCTTATATATTAAAAGATATGTACAATTACAAGAATGCCCATACAGGGCTGAAAGAGAAAAGAAGAATAAGATGTAAAAGTAATATACAGCAGGGACTATACTAATAAGGTACATCAAGTTATAGAGTCTCCACATCTCTGGCTAATAAGTGTTTGGACCACATGTGGTTTTCTCCTCTAATATAAAGCCCTTGCTCCTGGATCATTCATTTTGTGAAAACTGATTGCTGTAGGTATTCTTGAAAGGACCATGTTTATATGCCTTCAAGGGGTTGGCTGGTCGATTTGCCCCAATTGGAGTCCATTTAGCAATGCTCTTGATAATGGCAGGAGGAACTCTCAGTGCTGCTGGAAGCTACAGAGGCTCAGTCACTGTTCCACAGGGACTGAACTTTATTGTTGGAGATGTGCTAAGGCCAAATGGGTTTCTTTCTACTCCAATGTCATCTTTCAATACTGAGGTTCATATAAACAGATTCTACATGGACTACTATGACAGTGGCGAGGTAGGTAACATCTCTTATTTTCCCTTTTAGATTTGTCTTAGACTTACACCTTAGATTATCATGAAAGTTCTTACCCTTTTGACTCTAATAAGCTTCTAAAGATTAGATCTCCATTTCTTTCACTCCATTAGGTGTCTCAGTTTCATACCGATCTTTCTCTATTTGACCTCGATGGGAAAGAGGTGCTGAGGAAAACAATAAGTGTGAATGACCCTTTGAGATATGGAGGTGTCACTATATATCAGACTGATTGGAGTATTTCAGCACTTCAGATACGCAAGGATGATGAAGGACCATTCAATTTGGCTGTGGCACCTCTTAAACTAAATGGGGACAAGAAGCTTTTTGGGACATTCCTACCAGTTGCAGATTCTGATTCTCCTAATGTGAAGGGAATGTATGCTCTTCTATTCGTTTGTCTTTATTTTTGCTGATCTGTTCCAGGACAGTGAAGGAATGAATTCTCACCTCATTTTCCCTTTATTTATTTTCCCTAAAGCTCAGATCCATGCTTGCTCGCGATCTACAGTCAATTGTCCTGTATGATCAAGAGGGGAAATTTGCAGGAGTCCGGCGACCTAATTCGAAACTTCCAATTGAAATTGATGGGATAAAAATAGTAATTGAAGATGCCATTGGTAGTAGTGGCCTTGATCTGAAGGTTATGATTTAAATAATTGTCTTATTTGTAAAATTGTTTAGCTCTATATCTTATCAGCTTAATATTCTTCTATTCAGACTGATCCAGGGGTTCCAATTGTATATGCTGGATTTGGTGCCCTTATGCTCACAACTTGCATTAGCTATCTATCTCATTCTCAGGTGAAATACTCGCCTTGTTCTATTCATGGATCTCTCTTCTAGTGAAATATTTACTGTTTCTGTTATCTGATGAATCTTGAATGTGCTTCACTGTTTCTTTATCCTAAAGATATGGGCCTTACAAGACGGAACAACAGTGGTTGTTGGAGGAAAGACTAATCGAGCTAAGGTTGAATTTCCTGAGGAGATGAATCGCTTGCTTGACCGGGTTCCAGAGATAGTAGATTCCTCTTTATAATTGGAATGAGGAGAGAGAGAGAGAGAGAGAGAGAGAATGTTAACAGAATCCAAAAAGAATGACAATGACAGTCAATTTAATTCTTTGTGAATATGTATATATGCTGATTTTTTCTATATGCATGGAACCTGAAACAATAACATAAAGTCTAGCGCAAATAATTTCTCCATATATTCTATACATATCTGCATTTGCATCCACTTGTGTACTATTTGACTCAGCTTTCAGACTTCATAAAGGGTTCAATCTATTAAATGCGGTATACTTAATGTCATCTAAGATGCTTGCTGACTTTTTTAATCATATCTCCATATGCAGTAAGGTTTGATTGATATTGCCAATAAGAGTTGTAATTTGAGGGCCAACATCAGGAAGAACTATGAAAGGAATGAGAATGAAGAATGATAGGTTAGGGGAGGAGAAATGACATGATTCCTTGCTCATTTCTCATTATTCATATGAAAGGATAATGAAAAGGTTGAAAACTGAGAACATAGGCTTATTATTAACCATTGAAGCCATATGATGGCATTGTCATTGAATGAGAGTTAGGCAACTGCCCTTGACTGTGTTATATTACATTTTTTTAGTTCAATCGTTGTGTTGATCAATATTAGTCGAATGTGTTATATAATTCTTCTTTAGAAATGGAAAGAGGAATTGAAGGCCTATGGATTTTGGTCTTTTTGGAATTGCTGTATTGGTTTTGTCCCATTGCATAAATTTCTTCATTGGCTTTCTTCCATTGCATAAAATTCTTTACTGCCATCTAACATAGGAGTCTAGCTCATGTCTTATTCCATTATGTTAYCTTGTTAGAGCATCTACTGATGTTTTTGGTAATTTCACCAACTAGTTAACTRGTTTGTGCTTTTCTGCAAGGGTGGTTCTTGGGCGCTCCTGGAAGCACCCATTCGTATCCTTAATCTTGTTTACCTTGCTAATTATGATTCTTTGTTTTAGCTTATACTTGATAGACAGTAGACACCACTCCAGGTTTCTGAAATTAGTCTGTACATTACCTCAAGTTACCTGACTTTGTCGAATTATGATAAGAGGATCCCATTAACATTTGATGAATTTAGAGTGTTGGCCAATTTGTATGATTTTGTTTTCCAAAATAAAAACAATTGCCACATATTTATCAGAAGAACGTAATTTCTGCATCAGCAAAAACATGTATGCTTTGCTTCTCAAGATATATCGGAATCTTCTGTCATGGAACTGAAACTGCACTTCCAACAAGCCTCCCAACAGGAAACCATGCACAGCTGCATATTTGGAACATCTCATCTCCCCATGAATGTCAAGGGGAGATGTTACCCATGTCTGGCTGTAGTGATTTGTTGAGGGCAGATCCTTACGTGGCCGTAAAACATGCTATGTAACCAATTAAGAATAAAGATGGAGTTGAGATTCCCTCCCAACAAAAAACTGTTTCAACATGATACCATGAGACTGAGACCCGCCGCCATATATGAGATGTGTGGATATAGATGGTGTTACGAAGTTCAAACATTTTTTTTTGTTGGGAGGAGATCCGTACTCGTGAAAGAACGCATGGATCCCATGGCGTGCTCGCTCATAGTTTTACACATTTGTATTAGCATAAGATCCAGTGTCTGGTTTACGTGATGTGATAGATTTTTGTTTAATCATATGTTGATGAACAACAACCACCCGACAAATTTAACCTTGCCAACCATATCATATACTCAAACCTTCAAGAGTTTCAGAATTTTCTAAAAAACTAAATAAAGAATTCGAGGAGTTGGAATAGATGACATGAAGGTTTGAGCATATAAAAGAACCGAGATTCCTGACCTCCGTTCTTTACCAAATACCAAACAAAAAAAAGACGCCTAACCTGTTTGACTTGATGCTAATCTCAGTCAGTCAGGACTCAGAAATCCGGGTTAGAACATATGTTCCTGATTTTTCTAGCAATCGATCAGTCCTAGCCTAAATCTTTTTCTCTTCAAGTCAAACAGAAATAAATTATTTTCAAATCTGGCAGCTTGTATATCGATTTTCCTCGGTTGTCGTGTTCCCTCTATACCTTATCTTTATTCTTACCTACCTCCTTCCTGCTCTCATCATGTCAGTGACCCCAGTTTAATACTGATTCAATCAAATGCCGCCACCCGTGAACTACCACCTCCCTTTCTATGATCAAGATAGGGTACACCTGACGTTTATGTACCCTCTCTTGTATGTGAGATTTGGACATGGACAAGGACACCCATTGGCCATGGGAGATTCGGAATAGGACGCAGGTAGGCACCAGAGTTACTCTGTATAAACTCGTACCTTTCTCGGCCTGTTTGGCTAAGATCAAAGCATATACTCGCGTTCTGCTGTTCCTCTTCATTACCCTTCTTTGTAAATTGTAATCCCTCAAAAAATTCAAGTAGTCTATACGCAATTTCATGCAAAATGTCCTTTTCCCTGCTTAACCAACCTCTTTTCCATCAACCCTCCCCCATGTCATGTCATCCTGTACACCAACCCTTCCTAAAACCACCTAGAACCTCAAGCTACAGGAGGCCAGGCCTTCAGCATGTTCTGATGTGCCCCCACCAATATTTTGTTTTTTCACAAACATCCACTACTCTACTACACCTGACCTTATAGATTCTTTGATATTTTGACATTTACTACGTCCCCTCACTGTATTATATTGGACTTATTTTGACTTGGTTGCTCTATAAACTCTTCCAATATCTCTTGAGTCACAGAGGTTCTGGGCTGGAGAAGTGGAGAGGGAGAGAGAGAGAGGCCTTTGGAATGGAGGGACAGAGGTGCTGGACTGGAAAATTGGCGTTTGAAGTTATGGGTAAGGAAAGGTTGGCTAATAAAAGCTGGGATGAATCGAAGAAGATGTGGCATATTGCAGCGCCGGCAATACTTACTGCAGTTGCTCAATTCTCTATTGGACTTGTTACTGTTGCCTTCGTTGGACATCTGGGAGAGGTTGAGCTTGCTGCTGTCTCTGTTGTTGAAAATGTTATTGAAGGTTTCGTCTACGGAATCATGGTGAGTGCTAATACCAACGTTTTTGCATTAAATTTAAGACTGTTAGTTTCAGCTTCCACTTTCTCTTATATTGCTCTGTTTTTTCATTAATATTTGGTTATCGGCCTCTATTGGGAATACGATCTTTGAAGAACAGAAAGCCGAAATAAAATAAAAAAAGAAAGTTCTCCAAGAGCTTGCTCTTCCCATATATTTGCTTCTCCATGCCCCCTCCCCTCCCCTCCCCTCCCCTGGAAGTGGTTTAGTATTGCTTCTTGTTTGCTTTTTCAAATTAATCTCACTGGCTGAGCTAGGGTCAGGCAGTAATAGGAATAGGAATTCGGTAGTATGGGGTTACTACTACATCTCCATTAGCTCGTTATGGGATCTCAGAGACTTTGGCTCTGGTTTCTCTTACCGAAAGGAAGGAAACTTCTTACGAAGCAAAGGTAATTTGCACCTGCACCTGCTGAAGTTCATACTATGGCTTATTATTAGTGTTGGTGGTGGGGGTGTCGTTAGGGTACATATCAGGTAAAAGGAAGGGTTATGATTATTGTTTGTAATCAATTATGTGCAAATTGAAAATAGGCACAGAATTTAAAGAGGCTATAATTTTCAGGTGGATAAGGTAAGGTGAGGTATGAGACCATACTGTCGGGGTTCGGGGGTTAGTTAATGAGGCCCGTGTGGCACTTGATTGGGTTGAGTAAGTCTACAATGCAATTAACAATATATAAAACGTAATAAGAAGGCAGGTATCACTCAACTATTTATTTACCTTTAAAAAGTAAATTAAGCTTTTGGGAAAATGATATAGAAAGCATTAAAATAATAAAAAATCATATTATAATTATAATATTATCATTGACATTTCCCCAAACAAGATGCATGCATTGCCCCGGCGAAATAGACACTTGTAGCAATAAGGATAGGGCAGGTGAGTTTGCAACCTGGAAAAAGCAAGAAGCCAAGAACACGGCTTTAAACAATAGGCACGGAATTTCAAAATAGCAAACTTTGTGGAGATTTTTAAGGGTTAAAGTGGGTATGCGTTTGGCAATTCATATTGATATGGGTGATGGCAGTAGCCCAGTCCAACAACCATATAAGACATATCAGTTGAAATGATTTTAGTAAAGTTGGTGAGAATGATTGACTTTGGGTTGGCCGTTGGCATTGGACTTAAAAAGGGTGAGGTTGTGGTGATTGGTGAACAACTTTATACATAAATAAATTTGGTGGGGGGTGGGAGGGGAAGAGGATACATCATACATGCTTTCAAGTTTCACATTGACATAACCCATTTCACATTCATATGGTATTCTATTTTCATGATGTTGAATTTTATAAAATGTACTTTTGTAAAAATTTTTTATAAAAGTATTTTTATACAGTGTTTTCATGAAAGTATTTTTATTAAAGTATTTTTATGAAAATATTTTTGTGAAAGTATTTTTATAAAAGCATTTTTAAGAAAGTATTTGTATAAAATTACTTTTATAAAAATGTTTTCATAAAAATACTTTCATAAAAGTGCTTTTTTAAAAGAATTTTTATAAAAGTAATTAATTTAATAAAAATGCTTTTAAAGGGTATGTTTTAAAAATTTAAAAGAAAATAAAAGACAAAATAGTCACAATTACATATTATTTAAGTGTGTATTAGAGAAAAAAAAAACTACCAAACGCTTACTATAAAATAAGTACTTATTTTAAAAAACAAGCACTTGAAAAAATTAGGTGCCAAATATAAATAAATACTTATTCAAATAAGCATTTATTTTTAAGTACTTATTTAATAAATACTTATTTTTAACTTAAGTAATCCTAAATATGGCCTACTTTAAATACAAGCTGCTTATATATATATATATATATATATATATATATATATATATATATAGGATGTTATGATCCGTGCCACCATCCCAATCAGCTCCTTGATAACCTAAAAACTCGATGCCTTGGATTTCTATGCGGTGTCCTGACCAAGCCATGTCGAGCCACCATTGATGCCCTACCATATCTTCACATGACTCCGGATCACCTGCCCACAAGAACTCTGCCCACGTCTACTCACAACACACTACCCTAGTAAATTGGGAATATCTCCCCTTTTGGCTACCATTTTGGTCAATTTCTACTCTAAATAATTACCATTTGGGGGCACTTGTTGTACAATTTCAATGTCACATATTCATTTTTTATAGAGTTTGGAATATTGTTTGATTAAATCATTTATTAAATAAATATTTATTTCTATTTATGTAATAATTATCTCGATAATGCTTCTTGTCAATGTTTCTCTCAACACCAAATATCTTTTTATGTTTTACTATTCAGCTTTATGTGACCTCTAATGACATTAAATTGTCAGAAGATAAAATATCAAAAAATATTGTTCAACCATTTTTTTGGTTTTTTCAAAATAAATGACAGACTATAATATATAATATATAGATAGAGCTATTATAAATAGATAAGATTAATTTTGAGTGAAAAGTTATTCATCTTTTACACTAAAATTTTGAACCAAAAAAGACTGGGGATTGAAGATCATTGCCACCACAGTACAGCAGTAGTCCCATCTGCCTTCTTGTCACGGTCTGATACATGCTTAGCCTTGTCTATGCTTGGTGGGCTTACGTTAAGGGACACCACCGTCACTTTCGCCTGTAAGATTTTTGGGAAAAGTGATGTTATCTTCAAGCAGACCTCCAAAAGCTAAACGTACTCTTTGAGGAGGGGTGGTCGACCTCCTTGGGTGCCTAACCTTGGCACTCCCAAACCATCATCCCTTGCGAGGCGGCCCTAGTTAATGGCTAAAATGGCTACTAGGGTTCCTCATGGGCGCACACATGCTCATGGGAGCAGTGCATGGACTGGCACTACGCTGCCAACACTTAAGGGAGGCTTGGCATGCGGGCCTAGCTCAAGCATGACCCTTCACCACGCCAGCCCCTTGCCCAAGCTGAGTGAGCTACCCCGTTGCCCATAGCGCACGGGTGTGTTTTGGCCCAACGGTTGCCTTTCATCATGGCACATAAGTGMCCATCATCATCGGCATACAGGAGTCCCTTCACATCGGCGCCAAGTCGCCTCTCATCATGGCCTTCCCCCTTTAACACGTAAGAGGCGCCTCCCATGGATTGGCAAGAGCCACCTAAGAGCCCCAACCATGCGACTTGAGGTCATGATCTAGTGCTACTGACCTTGGTGGAGCCATCTCATCGGGTAACTCCTAGCCTCGCATCACACAAAAGCTTGTCTTGGCTTGCCTTGGCTTGGACGTCACACGGGTTTCTTCCTCTGCAAAATTACCCCCGTGACAGTTGGTATCAGAGCAAGCTAGCTAACTACTGCCACAGTTGGTATCAAAGTAAATTAGTACAGAGCCAGTTGAAGCGGTCATGTCGACAAGCAACACATTGTAGGGTGCGGTCCCTAGGCACTTCCACCTTGGTTTAAGCAAGCAATGCACATTAAGCCTGGCAAGTAGCCATTCATTCGTGTCCCCATTCCAATGACCCCAAAAACAGCACCCTTGTGGGGGCAGACGCATTGATTGCTGTGCTCATGCGGGGGCAGATACATGAGCCTTTTCATGGAAGGCATTTTGTGACGGTTTGAGTGGGGGAGTGCCATGCTTCCTCATAGACATTAGTTGTTGTTCATTTTGGTGAGGTGTTGGGCAGTGCGCCTACATCTTGGTTTCATGACGGATTAGCCATTGTTCTGTAGCTTTGTTTGAGACACTACTAAGGTAGGGGCAATAGTCCGAAATTGGTTGGTGTTGACGGTTGGTCAAGGAATATTACTAAAGTGGTAGTTTTGTATAAAATGGGTCCTTGGTTGAAGCCACAATATTGGAATGATAGGAATGTGGGTACACTGGCCGTTGGAGCATGGCGGCCCTGCATCGGCAAGGTATCAGGAGGACATGCTCAGCTCAACAGGCGAAACATTTGCATCAACAACTCACGTCACAAGGCGAGTGCATGTTTGACAACATCATGGGAAAAAGTTGCCACACTCGCACACACATTGCGGTCAGATCTCATTGAGGCAACATATTGGAGCCCCCTTGGAGCGAAGATGTAGCTCGAACCGGCGAGGTGAAGTGTAGTTTCGATGGCCAAAAGAGCATCAGCCATGGCTAGGTTTGAGTAACCCGAACACAGTGAGGTGAAATTTGTAGGCCAGCATGGTGAAAGGGTACACCCAGGACACACGCCAACAACAGGAGTAGACCCATTACATCGTGTTCGGTAGCAACACCGAAAAGCTACCAAGAAGACGGTCAAGCCTTGAGGTAAAGATGATACATGGGGTGCACCTCCGCGAAGCATCACATCCAATTTCTTCGAGGGCCCTTCTTTGACACTTTCAACGACATAACCATTATGCGGTTTGAGTAACCTCAACACAGGGGGTGAAGTCCAGGCAGATCGACATGGTGAAATGGTTCCGTCCCCATAAATGGACACCAACATAGGCAAGACCCGGGTTGGCCAGGTGAGCCCAGGAACTGGCAGACAAGTGGATGGTGCGAGACATAGACGCCTATTCACAAGAAGAGCCATTGTCGATGACGACAATGGATTGAGTGGAGAGACTGTCACGATCTGACACAGGCTTAGTCTTGTCTACGCTTGACGGGCTTACGTTAAGGGACACCACTGTCATTTCGCCTATAAGATTTTTGAAAAAAGTAATATTAACCTTGGTAAAACCATCTCATCAAGCAACTTTTAGCCTTGTATCATACGTACGTCGCACGGATTTCTTCCATTGCATAACTACCCTCGTRACATTCTAAGGCTGCCATCGATCCGGCGGAAATAGAAGTTCACATGACTCATCAGCGCCCGCAGCACATCCCGACCTTGTATTGGGAGGCGCTGATGATGTTAACTCGGCGGAGATCACATTTCGCCCCTGCTAAAACACAAAAGAAAACATCATCACATCAACTGGTTCGGGTGATAGGACACTGGCGTGTTGGCATATATGGCAGGAAATCTACGAGGTCATCCGTCGGCGGAACGCTCTCATCTCATCTTTTGAGGAAAACAAAACCAGAGAAACCCTTCTTAATTTAACTGCAATAGAATGCTCGGTTTTTAATTACCAAGGCAGCAAGATTAGATTAGGGTCGCTTCAGTCTGAACTGGTGAAGTAAGTTACAGGGAAAACAACATCGAATATGCCATCGAGTAACGAGTTAAAATGCGCATCACACCAACCCACTGTGTTTTTGTTCTTTTCATAGCTAACTTCGAAAATCAGAAGCAATTAGAAGTTGTATTTATTTATCCCAATTGAGCCTTTGCGATGGTGACTCCATGGTTTGACAAACCAGCTGTAACGACCCTGCAGAGTTGTTTATTCAATTCTGAAAACCAAAGATGCTTCCGAACCGGGTTTTCTTTGACTTGGATTTACCTCTCTGAGGCTTTCTGCACATTTCTTGATCAGGGAAACAAAGGCTTTGTCGGGTGGTTGGTAAAGCTAAGTGGTGATATAGAGTGTAAGGGTCAAAGCGTGAGTGTAGAGATCTGGACAGAAAACAAAGAAAGCTTCGTCAATGGAGGGACAAAGATTTGGGATGATAGGAAGGTTGGCGTTGGAGATCATACAGAGTAGGAGAAAGCTGGGAGATAAAAGCTGGGTTGAATCGAAGAAGATGTGGCATATAGCAGGACCTGCAATATTGAGTACAGTCGCTCAATTCTCCATTGGATTTGTGACGGTTGCATTCGTGGGGCATTTGGGAGATATGGAGCTAGCTGCCGTCTCTATCGTTCAAAATGTTATTGAAGGTTTTGTGTATGGGATCATGGTGAGTACTACTGATACCTGCCCTTCACATTGCTCTCCTTTTCTTGTTTGTAATTGGTCTTTCTTAGGAATTAATGATCCCTCCATTWACAAAATTGAAGGAAAAACAAGGATTTTATTCCATTCAATGTATATGTATCCTCCCATGCTTTGGCTCTCTGTGAACAAGTTTCTTCTTCTTCATCATCATCATCCTCGTTTCTTGCTGGTTTGGACATGCTTTCACTCATCTTTTTATTTACTTGATTTAGAACAGGCTTATTCTGAATGAGTTAGCTCTAGGATTTTCTCATCATGGAAGTTGGAACATGCCATTAGATTACTGTATGGTTGTATTATTTTATTTTATATAATAAAAATGCTAACCGTAGAGGTTGGAAAGATATATATCTAGATGTTTTAATACATTTGATGCTACCAAACTCAAGGTAGGTGTGTTAAGAACCAAAAATGGGTCCGTGTTGGGAGGGAACTTTTCAAAACAATGGATCAGATGGATGATATGGTCCATGTACATGGCAACAAAAAAAAAAACAATCATTCCTAGTTTGATGATGTGCATCTTCATCTTCTTTGTTATTTGTTAGCCCTTCCACTCCCACATCGCAGCAAGTCCAAAATCTCSTTGACCACCCATAGTGATTAGAGTTTTGAATTTAAAAGAAATGGGACGTGCTTATTTATTGTTTTAATGAAATAAAATCGTGTCTAACGACTCTAACATGATCAATATATATAGATGTGAAACTCAGGTTCGCACGGAGAGGAATCTTTAATTAGGCAATAGTGATTAGATAGGATTTCACCAAATTATCATATTGCAAATTGAGTAATATCTAAGTTTCTTAGATTGAGATCTAGAGTGTTGATTAGTGATTGGGTTTCGACTGCTTGACCAAGTCTGGAGGAGGAGGGTCTTCCCCTTTTTCTTGTGATCTGTCCATTCTACCTGGTTGGTTGGAGGACATATGTTTTACTTTTACCAAATGCATGTTACATAGGGTTTTAGGGATTAGGGGTTTAGGGTTTAAATGTGAAAATCAAGAGATGACCGGACAAAGCGTAATGTCTGTTGATTCAATGGTCTCAACTCAAATTATTAACCATTTCATTCTTGCATGTATACAAGCCTGAAGCACCAAACATTGTTGAGCAAGAAAATATACTTAACTCAATTCAGGCCTTAATCATCCTAAACTATCTGGGGTGGTCTGCATTAATTCTGTCCCCTCAACTATGCTCTATCAAGTGTATGTGTGTGTGTGGAAAGAACCAAGAGTGCTTTTCAGGGGTCCAAACAAACAACAAGTCAAGACTATTTCTGGACTACTCCATAAATTATAATAAAGGGAAACGCTAGATCATCTTCAGCCGAACAAACAAAAGTATATCATACTAAGAATTGCCCAGCGTCTCCCATTTAATCTGGCGTCTATCAATTGATCGAATCTTTTTTCTTTCCTGCTCAAGCTTTGATAYCAGTGTAACTTTATCCACCCAATAATCAAAACACATGACTGACTCTCATCTTCCTACTTACAAGTTTTGAGCTGCAAAAACTTTCATTTGCTTATAATAATTCCTGTTTAATATATAAATATATATAGCTAGGGATGGGAAGTGCCCTAGAAACACTATGTGGACAAGCAGTCGGTGCGGGGCAAATGAACATGCTGGGTATCTATATGCAAAGATCATGGATCATAACCGGAGTCACAGCACTAATTCTGACGCCTGTCTATGTGTTTGCATCACCAATGTTGAAGCTGCTTCATCAGAGCGATGACATATCAGAGCTTGCAGGAAAGTACTCAATATGGGTGATCCCTCAATTGTTTGCTTATGCTCTCAACTTCCCCACACAGAAGTTCCTTCAATCTCAGAGCAAAGTCTGGGTCATGACTATAATTTCTGGGGCTGTCTTGGCATTCCATGCATTGTTGAATTGGATACTTGTCACCAAGCTTGGACATGGCTTGGCCGGGGCTGCCATAGCAGGGAACATCTCATGGTGGTTAGTGGTTTTGGCTCAACTAGTTTATGTGGTTTCTGGGTACTTTCCAGATGCATGGACCGGATTTTCCTTGTCAGCATTCGAAAAATTGGCTGCCTTTGTGAAGCTCTCACTCGCCTCGGCCATTATGCTGTGGTTAGTACTTGGATTTCAGACTTTCAGTTCAGATGCAATGCAAGCAATTCGATTTTTGCCAAATCTTTCCTGTTGCTAATTACTCATAAAACGCAATTGATAACATGCAGCTTGGAGCTCTGGTATTACACCATAGTTATTCTCCTGGTTGGCCGCTTGAAAAATCCAGAAATAGCAGTAGATGCCATTTCAATCTGGTAAGTTGCTACCAATTCATTTTTAATTTCCCATCTTTTATTTAAGGCATGAAACATGGATTTCCCTACATTTTCTTTTATGTTATATTCCCTTCTTTAATTAATTGCCTCTCTTCTCCCTTTTTCCTGCATGGATGTTGCAGCATGAATTTGCAGCAATGGACATTGATGATTGCTCTGGGTTTCAATGCTGCTGTCAGGTAAGCACTTCCTCAAGAGGGCATATGTCAAGATGCATGGCTCCTCTGTTAATTAACTTAACTGTTCATGTGGAGGCTTAGATCTTCATTCAATGATATATATTATTGATCGATCTTCTCTCATGTACACAGCGTGAGGATTTCTAATGAACTTGGAGCAAAGCAACCGAAAGCTGCAAAGTTCTCGGTAGTGGTGGCTGTTACCACATCAGTCCTGTTTGGGACATTTTTCACTGTTGCAATTCTAGCCACCAGGAGCCATTATCCCAAAATTTTCACGGCAAAACCGGTGGTTATAAGGGAGACATCCAAACTCGGGTACCTTTTGGCAGCCACCATTTTTCTCAACAGCATCCAACCAGTTCTCCACGGTATATATGTTCTTCTCTTTTAATGAATTTTGTCACTCAACTCTCAACATAGAAAACTAAGCATTAAAAACTACTTCAATTCATTTACAAGCACGAGTTCCTCAAATTTCAGGGGTAGCAGTAGGTGCAGGTTGGCAATTCTTAGTAGCCTTTATAAACATTGTGTCCTACTACATTTTTGGGCTCCCAATCGGTGCCTTACTTGGTTACAAGTTCAATCTTGGCATTCAGGTAAAGCAATTTACCCTATTTACTCACAGCTACAGACGTGAAACTACTAGTAATTAAGAAATAAGAAATATTGAAGCAGTAGCTCATCACTTGGCCATCATTCTTCATGCAGGGCATCTGGACAGGGATGTTGGCGGGATGTCTACTTCAGACTGTTGTTTTGTTGTTTATCATGCTCCGAGCTAACTGGCATAAAGAGGTAAGTGGATTCTTATTTTAAGCAAGAAAGTGGTAGAAATGGTATTCAAGGTTCAAAATATCGATAATGGCATATTGGGCGAATCGATATACATTTTTTTATTTTTTTGCAACCAGCTCAGGGGGCCGGTTTAGGTCTCCTCTACCCCTTGAACCGATCAGACAGGGGTGTATCGGAGGGGTCCAGAATGATATGTATCGGCCGACACAGGCCACCTGTCAATACTTTGAACCTTGCTTGCAGTACTCTACATATATTTGTATGCGTACTACTTCCAAGATCACGATAACTGTCATTGGTTCTTACTGAGGCATTAGTCCCGTTGATGACAACGAGTACCGGATTTTCCTGATGCAACAGGCATTGCAAGCTGAGGAGCGGGTCAGAACATGGGGTGGTCAATCGGAGCCTCAACAAACACCAAAAGAGACGGCAAATGAAAATGGAGTACAAGAGTTGATACAGCGAGAATCTATATCGATCATGAGCCATTGAATATATTGAGAAGGGGTTAGGAAAAGGGAAAACAAAAAGATTATTAAAACAAAATAGGAAGAAAGAAAGCAAAGGGAAAAGGAAACCGTATTAAATTTCTCACTGTAACGAGGAAATTTGTAATTCTATGGTTCTACCTTCTTGATAAGTAATAACAAGTGAAGTGGTTATCTTCCATAATGTCTCTGTTTCGGTATCTCTGTTTATGGATTTAAATAKGAACAGGAGAAAAGAAAGTGAGTAAGAAAGAAAAAATCAAACATGCATTCTTGTTTTTTCATTGCAACATAAAGATCAAAATACAACTAGAAACACACAAACGTACATAGGACTCAGGGATAGGGTGTCAATCGACCAGTTTTGGTTTGGGTCTAATCCGTTTCAAATCTTGTCAAATCAGATTTGGACGGTCTATTATAATTATTGGATTGTGTCAATCCAAAATAAATTGGTTCATATTCTCATTAGTTTGAGTTAGACCTAAACCAAATTTTCAATAATTTAATCATAAGGCCAAACCCTTGTACAATTTGAAATCATTCAAAATTAAAAACAATATAGAATCACTTTTATGAAAGTACTTTTATAAAAGCACTTTTATAAAAGTAATTTTATGAAAAATATTTTTACAAAAGAACTTTTATAAAAATACTTTTATGAAAGTATTTTTACAAAATTACTTTTATGAAAGCACTTTTACGGAAGTAGTTTTGTAAAAGCACTTTTACAAAATCACTTTAATAAAAGCACTTCTATAAAAGTACTTTAAAAAAAGTACTTTTATGAAAGCACTTTTATAAAAGTACTTTTACATGAAAATATTTTTATGAAATCACTTTTGCAAAAAACTTAYGGAAGTACTTTTACGAAAGCACTTTTATACAAAACACATTTATGAAAGCACTTTTAGAAAATCACTTTATGAAAGAAATTTTACGAAAGCACTTTTATAAAAACACTTCTACAGAAGTACTATGAAAGTACTATGCAAAAGCACTTCTACAAAAATACTTTTCAAAAAGTGCTTTTAGAAAAACACTTTATTGAAAGTACTTCAGAAAAGTGTTTTTGTAAAAGCACTTTTATGAAAATATTTTTATCAAAGTACTTTTATATAATTTTTTATATTTCATTTGATTTGGATTGGATCCAATCCAATCCATTTACATTTTAATGGATTGGATTGGATTTGGTTTGTACTGGATTTGGACTGAATTGGGTCCAGTCCATTTATAAATGGACTTGCAATGGACTGAGTCGAGTTGGACCAAATCTGTCCAATTGACATCTCTAGTTAGGCATAAACAACCACTTTTCCTACCAATGCCTTGATAAAAAAAAAAAAAAGAAAAAAAAAATAGAAGCATTTTCAATGTAAAACTATTAAAGAACCGTTCAACCTCGAATAGGTTCTTATCTCATGTTTCACCCATTGGGCTTGAAGCATGGATAAGTGCAGGCCCACCCATATCGTGTCGTAAACTTAATTAGTTATAATAGGCCCGATGAAGACCAAACACTAGAACAGTTGGTCAAATAATCATACAATCTAAAAGTTTAAGCTGTTAATTGACGTTTTACAATTTTATATAGAATAATCACTAAAACTAAGCAACGAAACAAGACTTAGGAATAGATTCATCCATGGATTCTACGCTAACAACAGAATGAGGTGCATACACAAAAAGACAATAAAGATACAGATTAACGCTTATAATAGCAAAACAAGCAGCAACAAAAGTGCCAAACCATCATTTTGTCTTCGATCAATTAGTCTGATAAAAGGATGTGCTCATCACATTACTTGAAGCCTCTACATTTAATGAGTTGCTATTGGCACATTGCTGATCACGAGTTCACATCTCCGCCACACAAGGGCTGCCCCACAACTCTCCACAATACGTCCCCGCCATCTTTTGAAAACATATCTGATGATGATGATATCACCGGAACTGATACTATCATGGGTGATGTTCCCAATACAAGGCGGAGATGCTGCGAGGCGTTGTGGGGCGGAGATGTGATCTCGCTGATCACCACTTCACCTTTATGCCAAATGATCTGAAAATTAAAATTAAAGCAGTATTGATTTGTAGATGTCCCACTCCTACCATGTGAATGCCTTCTGCTTCACGGCATTGATGGAAGCGTATTTGCATTATGCAACGTTGAGGGGACGCCTGGTCATAAGTATGAGTGTGTGTATGGGTATTTTGTATGGTTTTTTAATTGCTGTTGATCTAGACAGTTGGACTGTTCAACTCGGGAATCATCCAGGCAACTAGTTCTGTTTTACCTCAAATCCTATTTCTGATAAAAAATTATTGAATCAGTTAACAAATTGTTAATGCGGGCGATCAAACCATTAATCCATTCAACGGTTTTTAGCTGTTTTTTAATTTTAATTATTTTTTTTAATTTGTTTTGTCAGAACAAACTGTCCATTCAAACCAAACGGTTAAGCTATCAATCCGGAAACCGGTRGCCACAACGGTTCTGATTCCAAATCATTTTTTAAATCATTAATTTTTATATTATTATGTTTTGACAGAGGAAAACCATTACTTGGGCCCAAATTGTGATGTTAGATGGTTTTAAATTAATAATCCAAAGGAGAACCTTTCATTTTCACGATTAATGGTCAAATGATTGACTTTTTAATTCAAATCCGACAGTGGGTTTTTCTCTTGAAGCCCATGGTTGATTGGACTCAAGTTTGATGGGATCACATTATCAATTGGCCCGATAAGATTGTAGGCTGAATATTTCGACTTGGAGATTTGGTAACCTAGCAAAAATTGGGTACAACTGTACTGTTCAGCTAATACAACTTATTTGTAAGGATTGCGAAATCCATAAGCTTCTCCATTTGACATTTCTTTCACATAGACAAAAGTGCTTCAGTAGAAGCTGAAACTATTTTTCGTCCCTAAATTAGAAGCCTTGATTAGGTACCCATGCTTGAATAGTGGAGTTACGATCCCTTTTAAATATCTCATGAGTTATCATTCGACAAGAACAGAAAAATCAAAACTTGCTTTGTATTTTTGATATCTTTTGAAGGGACACATAACAGGGGTAGCCCATCCCCCAATTCATAATCCATCCAATCTAGGTGCAGGCGAGATTTGATCCCAAGTYTCTGCTACTACTAGGAGACTTTACCAACCAGCTGATTGGCACCTTACAAAATCAAAACTTGCTTTACAAATAAAAAGAATCCACTAAAGACTCCTATAATGGAGAAGCATTATGTATCCATGGCTATACCAATTACCAGGATTAGATAGTTTCATTGGTAATTTACGCTGCTTTGGAATATCAAATTATTAATTAAAGGATATTTTATTATTAATGCTTTATATCCAATAGTATTTTAAATGGAAAACTAGCAGGGACTTAATAATTTTATTTTTCATTTAATGTTAATTTATAAAAAATAATTATTGTTAATTGAATATGAACAAATATTTTTTAATAAATTTAGTTTTATTAATAATTTGTAGTAATTTTAATAATTTTTAAATGAAATTTTGATTAACTTTAAATAAATAAAAATAATTATAAAAGCTAACAATTTTATCAATTCCACTAATAATTAACAATTATATAGGAATAACAACGGGGTGGGTTCAGGGCAGGGCACCCCATCCCTTTCCCTACCCCCATAGTCAAGACACTTTACCCCATCCCCACCCCGTCCCCAGTGTCACGCGGATTCAGGGCAAGGTAATCACTCCTCGATGTCGGACGAGTTCAGGGGCAAGGCACCCCACTCCTCATCAATGATGGAGAATCCTCAAACTTCCCTACCCCATCTCTAGTATTGGGCGGGCTCAAGTAGAGGTGTAAATTGGGTAGTCGTGCTGGGTTGGTACGACACGACCCGCATGTGGTCCGTACAAAGTGCGAGTCGTGCCGTACTAGCCCATGAGGTGTCCTAGGTCGTACCTCCCTCCTCTAGGATAATTTGGGGGGTTAGTTTGGCTTGAGCCTGCATGGGCCCATGCTGTGCCTTGGGCCGGGCTGGTCCATGGGTCAGGCCATATCACACACCAAGCCAAGCTCAAAGCAACACACCCACTCCCTATCCAAGGTTTTTAAAATTGGACCGGATAGGGAACCGTTCTAGGGTTGAACGGTAGTCCGACTGTTCGGTCCGAATGGATGACCCGCTATGACAAAAAATAAATAAAAAGTTAGAAAAACAAAAAAGGCCAAAAATTGTTGTCTGGGTTGATTGTTTAACCACCCAGGTCAATAGATCGCTAGCCAAATAAACAGTTTTTGGACAAAAAGCGGTTTTGAGGTGAAATAGTGTCTGATTCCCAATTTTTCTGGTCTAACCATCTGGTTTGATCCAATTTTGAAAACACAATCCACGTCAACCCAATATGATGATAGAAATTATCAAAAGGATATATTGGGTATCAACCACATGGTAAATTTCTAAAAGTACACTAAATTGTCTTTAATATTCAAAAATGTAATTTTATGAAAAATTTGGAAAATTTATTATACGTGTGTAATTTTGAAAATTTATTCAAATTTATTTAAATATTCATTAAATAATTATTTTCATTTTAAATGGTTTATTTACGCAATTATACTAATTTATCTTATAATTTCTAATATAAACTAACCAATAATTTCCTTTTTCCAATATTATACTATTTTATCATAATAATTTATGTAATTATTTTTTCAAATTATAGTTTTCCATTTCCCATAGTCATTTATCTTTAGTAAATTTCAATAATTTGCAATGAAAATTACATAATTTTTCAATGGTTTTCCAAAATCTATCAAATGTAATAAATTTTCCTAAAATTTACAAAATATTCTAATAATTTTCAATAATTATTTAATGCATTTTAAATAAACTTTCAAATACTTTATATCTTTTAATTTCAAAAATGTTATTTTAAGAAAATGTAGTTTTATGAAAATTTTTGAAAAATTTATTACATTTGTATAACTATGGAGATTTATTGAAAGTTTTTTTAAATTGTTATTAAATATATATTTTTATTGGGTATTTACTAACAAAATTAYACTAATTTATCTTTTATTTTTCAATATAAATTAATTAATAATTTCATTTTCTATCATCATAATATTTTGTTCCCCCATTTGTATTTGGTTATTAATTATAATAATAACAATAACTAAAAT